AGCCAGCTCTTTCCCAAGATGGTGGGGAGCTGAAGCCTGAGGGAAAAAGGTAGCCATGGCCCCCTGCCACTCCTGGGGCACAAGGCTTCCACCTGGCTCTCCGCTATCCATTTTCTGGCTCTCAGTAAACTGAACACAAGCAGTTGCTTAGGGGAGACTGGATCATTTCAGAAGTGGTGTGGCCTCAAGGAGCAGCAAAGGATGCTGGGAAGAGCCCTCTGAAGCGCCTCTGTAGAGGGGTTTGCGCGAGGCCAGCAGGACTCCATGAGCTAATCCCAGTGCTATCACTGTCTCACCTCGTCGGCTGTACCATGAGAAAGGACCCTGAGGAACTCAGGGGCTCCTCCAGCCTCTGGTAACCTCTGCATCCCTCACCCCACAATAGTTTTTGCAGCTTGTGAACCAAGGTGTCAGTCGTGCAGAGATGCTACCACTATCTGTACATAAGGCAGCTTAAAGGGGACCAAAAGGGGTTCAGGGCCAGATTATAGCTCATGCCTATAATCTTACTCAGAAGGCTGACACTGAGGATCACAGTTCAAAGCCAAGCTAGTCAGGAAAGTCTGTGCAACTCTTATCTCCAATTAACCACTAAAAAGCCAGATGTGGAGCTGTGGCTCAAGTGGTGAAACCAGTAGCCTTGAGTGGAATAAAGCTAAGGGACAGTACACAGGCCCTGAGTTCAAGCACTAGGACTGGCACAAAAAGAAGTTTAGAAATTGTGGGGCCTGCCCCACCTCACCTTCCCCTCTCTCTTTCTCCCTCCCATGCCCAGGAATGTCACATACAACCTCACTGCTGCCACCTCTGGGTAGGACTGAGTAACACTGGCCAAAGCCAACTGCTTTAGGTCTATCTTAGAGGTGAAGATCAAAAGGTAAGGACTACCCAGAGGCCCCTCTAGCACCCAGATGAAACCTCACCCTAGATCTGGGAGGCAAGACTACAGCCTCCTTCTCTCCCAGGGCTTCCTTGCCTCCCCCACTCGCCCCCTTCCCCGGCCCCGGCCCTTTCTCACTTTCCTGTCCAGCTCCGACTCAGAGTCCTCTTAGTCCCTCCCTTCCCACTCTCATCCCTATCCCCCATTACTTTTCACTAAGAGATGGAGGCCTTGAAAGGAGAAAGTATTTGCCCAAGGTCACATTTTCCTTTCTGCAACAAGCATTTATGGAAAGCTAACAGCTGGCCTGGGTACTGGGGAGAGCTGAGGAGCCAGGAGCCAGAGGAGGGGAGAACGGCCCTGTGGCCCTGCCAAAGCGCTGCATTTCCCAAGGAGGCGCCCTTGGCTCTGGTCCTAAAGTATGCAAAAATGAGTAGGAGCTCACGCGGGCAGAAATGGTGCAACGAGTCCTGCGTTTTGGTTTGTGTTGTGGTTTTCTGTTCCAGTCTAAACCAGGCAGGGTCTGATGTAAGCATTTTCTGCAGGGATCCCCTTCTTGAGCCTGCTCTCTCCCTAGCAACTCTGCCACATCAAGCTCTCGGGGAAAGTGACCTAGTCATCAGAAAGTGGCATGCGGAGCCAGTGATCACAAGGACCACACCAAGGAGGCTGGACCTAAGTGCCTGACATGGACCCACAAACGTGTCCAAGGCCAGGGACCACCAGCAGCTTGGGGGTCTGCTCAGCACTGGCCCAGGTCTTCCCCTCTGATTGGGGTGTGGCTCCAGAGGTCCACAGCCACTTTAAGCCACCAGCAGTAACCTCAAGAACAAGCTCTGCAGAAAGAGGGGCAACACAGCAGGCATAATAGGCATGGTTGGGGAACTGCCCATGCGGTCGGTGCTCCAGGCAGCCTGTTCCCAGACTGTTCCTGAAAGTGGCCTCTGGGTCCCTCCAGAAACTAAATCCCCCTGGGACATCTGCCTAAGCTCCAGATTCCTTTCTGCCTCCTCACCTCTGAATCTCAGTGTAGTCACGGGCCCTGGGGAAGGACACGTACAGGACCTCTGATCCTTTTATTTTCTCCTCTTTTCCCACCTAGCCCTGGCCCCTCCCACCTCCCTGTCTGCCCTCTGGGTTCCCAGCCATCCCAGCAAGCAAAGCGAGCAGAAAATGCCCCTTAAATGCTTCAATGAGCATCAAAAACTCCATTCCACATCCTCAAAAAGGACCAGAGCAAGTCCCTTTCTGTGCCTCAGTTTCCCTTCAGGAAAAATGACCCTCGATAACCCCAATCAGAAAGGAGGCAATGTGTCAGCAGTGGGAAGTTACAGGAGTTCTTTGAAACAAGTAAAGAAAACAAACCAGACTTTTGTTGACATGGGAACTCGGCCTAAGCACCAAGGACTGTATGATGAAACTATCTGCACCACTCATGCAGCTATCAAGGATTTTCAAACTCGTTTCCTCAGGGGTGGGAGGGAGTGTGCATCCTGACCAGCTTCTGAAAGAGGTTCCCCCTAAGCTTCTGAGCTAGACACCCAGCTGCTTTCATACAAGTAGGAAACGCAAGCATTCTTGAGGTCATGTGGCACACTCGGGTTGCACACAGCTACATGGTAGCTGAGCTTTCCTTTGAATCTAGTATAACCTCTGGTGCTGTCCTCTTCATCTCTAACCTCACCTATTACATCCCCCACTAGGAGCAAGATGCTGGACAATTCATTCCTTCTCGACTGCCAGTCCCTAGTGCACTGCCCTGTTCTGCCATCAGCCAGTTGTCTGTGGGTGCAGGGAGGATGAATGCAAAACCCTTTGTCCCAATTGTGGGGACCCAAAGGCCTAGGGTGGCAGCTGAGACGTTTCTCTGAGTTCCACAGACCTAGAGACAAGCTTTCGTCTTCCATGGCACTGCTCTTGCCCCATACCACCTGGGGAATGGTAATGAATGCGGCCTTAGGGCTCAGCGAGGCCCACTGTGTGCCATGTGGCCTGCTACATTACAGGCTGTGCCTTGAGGCGGCATTCACACCTATGGAATCAGTCACTTGGGGAGACTTGAGTGGGAAAGAAGAGCAGGCTTCCAACTTCTACAATGGATCAAACCCTGAATTGGGGGTGTTTTCTTGGCATGCAACTGAAGACTGTTGAGGGGAACAGGTGTGGATGCTTTCCTTTCACCAGGTTTTGGGGTCAGCACGGGGAGGCCAGAATCCCTGCTCTGCAAGATCTCAGAAGGCTATAACAGGGGGAGTGAGACAGAAGACGGGAAAGCAAAGCAGCCTGAGTGAGGCTGAGGTACAGCTTTGGCTGCGCTGGACCACTGCCCTTAATCCAGAATGCTTTGTCCCAGTGACAAGCAATCACTGCTGCCATTACCATTCAGCTCCTTACAAAGTAGCTTATCTGTCTTCCTGTCACTCCTCCCTGCCAGGCACGAGGCTCTCTCTTCCAGCCTGCACTGTCTGGCTCTCACAGGAACATTTTTGGAGACTAAGGAAAATTGGTTTTGGCTTTTCAGGAATGAGTGGAAGCTAGAGTCAAGCAACTCCAAACCATGTGTAGGCCTTGATTTGGCAGATTTTGAGCTTCTGATCCTGCTTCTAAGTCTTCTTCTTCCAGGAAGTCAGCCCTTAGCTTTTTAGCCAGAGTTGCTTCCCTGGTCCAGGGGAAGAGTCCAATGTTTTCTACTTCCTAGAGCTGCAGTACCATACGTGCTGAGTGTCCAGAGGACAGAAAGAACAGATTTTGAGCACTGGCAGTGTGTTGAGTGCTGCACTGGGTACCTTCTGCTAGCCACAATGGCAAAGAGGACAAGGTAGGGCAAGTGAGATGGTTTTATTCTTTTTCATGTTCGAGTGAATGTGCTGGGGGTACAATGAGGGGAACGATACAAGCACCAAGCCCCGTAGAACATTGTCTCTTTGTCAATGCACCTGTGCTCTGCTCACCAAAGCTGACCCTGCTTTCCCAGATGTGACAGTTGAGGCCCTGGGAAGGCACTTGAACATCCTCAACTTGGTTCTGTAGCTCTGTGTGGCTGTGTGCATGCACAGACACACACGTGCGTGCACACACACATCACAGACATACAGACAGACACATACACATACAAACAGATCGAGGGCCCTTTACCCTAAAGCTTCATTTAGGTTTAGATCAACCACCCCTGTTTCCTGGCTGCAGGCAGAAGTCAAAAGAGCCATGAGACCATGGCAAGAGTAATACTAGGTGTCAGAAACTTTGATCAGTGCTGGATTGGGCAGGAAAGGCCTTCTGCCTTCCTCCTTCCCTCTGTGTGTCTCTGTCTTTCTTTGTCTTCCTCCTTCCCTCTCTGTCTCTGTCTTTTTCCATCCTAAGATGTTTCTTCATTACCTTCCACAGTGCTAAGACTAAATGCTATAGGTGAACACATCTCCTAGGTCCTAAAGCCCAGGCACAATCTCACCACCTACCTTATCCCTGCTCAGAGCAGTTCTGGTGAGAGGCTGCCTGGCATATTATCCCTCTGGGCCAATGGAGCTGCCCAGGGAGCCTCCAAGCTTGCAAGTAGCAGAGCAGACAGCAGGATCTGAGCTTTCAGCCTTTATGTGAGGCAAGGTATCACTCTGACTTTCCAAAGAGGACAAGGCTCTTGGCTCCCCCTGCCCCCATCAAAACAATCCAGCCACAGAGCCTGTGTGCTGCAGATTGCCTTGATAGCACCACAGTGACACTTGATTCGGCGCCTTCTGTCTGAGCACAAGCTACTCCTTTCCCGTGGCCCTCCCTGAGATCGCCCTGTGCCCAGCACATGTTCATCACAAACCCCCATCAACTCCTCTTCCATAGGTTCTGAACCAGTGAGGAGTTCCTCCAGGTGAGCCAGACAGTTCAGATTTTTCATCTCGAAAATGGACATAAGAGTGCTGCGGGGTGGAGGGTGGGGGTGGGGGGGGGTCAGACTCCCTGAATTTCGAAGCAATCAACACTAGGATCACCCTGCCCCCTCCCTGGAGAAGTAAGGACTTATGGGTGAGAGAACTGATGTCCCGAGTTGTATCCTGCAGGACACGGATGGGTGCGTGGCCCTCGCTGCCTCCCCGTCTGGCTGCCTGGGACGGCGAGTCGACAGCCCTACCTGGAACAGGTGCCCAGCTTGTGGGGCCCGCGGAGGGTCGGGCGGGCGCCGGACGTAGGCTCCCTCGAGTGGGCAGTGCCGGACCTGGCCAGACCGAGGTGGCGGCGATTGCTGGGAGCGGGACGCAGCGGGGAGCGCTCGGGGAGGCGAGGAGGCCCGGACTGGGCTCACCCGCAGGAGAACAAACAGGTTTTCTCCGGCTGCCCGGAGCCTCGCCCCTCGCCCCTCCCCTCGTCCGGCCCCCTTCCTCTGCCCTCTCCTAGGGTAGGTAGATGCGCCTGGCACATTCCGCACATTCTCCCGCCAGTGTCCTCCTCCTGCCCGCCCCTTCCCAGCCCCGCCCCCTCGGGGCTGCGGGAGAAATCAAGGCGCGGGCTCCCCACGCCGAACCCAGAGAGAACTCCAGAAGGTTTCGCCGCGTGGAAAACTTCCAGGCAAATTCCTCCGGGCTCGCGGTACCCGGGCCAGGAAGCCTCCACCACGTGAAGGGCCCCCGCTGCCTAGCGGCGCCCCTGCCCGCGCCTGCCGAAATCTGGCCCAGGCTCAGGGCCAACGACTTCCACAGATGCTGTCGGGTCAATTCTGTCAACTACTGTGCCTAGATCCATTTTACAGATGGAGATCCCAGACACAGGCAGGGAGGGGGCGGGAGTACTGGTGGCTGAGATCATGCAGGAAGTCTACGAAGCAGAGAAGGAGGGGAAAGCAGCGAGGGAGCTGCTGCTGTCAGCATCAGGCCCAGGACAACTGACACCCTGGAAGGCTATGCAGGGAAAGGGGTGCAGCCCCCTTCAAGACACAATAAACAAGGCTACCTCACACACTAGACTCGAAGACACATTCAGGCTCCAGACTCCAAGCACTGGGATACATGTCATTCATTTAAGCTGCTCAACAGTCCCTGTGATGGCAGGCTTGGTCCTGGTTTGAGGGCTATGATGGAAAGAGCAGCAAAAGGAAGCTCCAAACTGAGGACCAGCGGTTCAAGCCTGTAATCCTAGCTACTCACGAGGCTGATATAGGAGGATCACCATTTGGAGCTAGTCCAACTTCACAAGACTCACATCTCCAATTAACCACTAAAAATCTGGAAGTAGACCTGTGCCTTAAGCCATAGATTGTCAGCATTGAGGGGAAAAAAAGTGCCCAGACCATGCCTACGCCCTGACTGCAGGTGCCAGCTCCACTTCCAGCACACAGACAGACAGACAGACAGATAGACACACACACACACAAATTTACCACCACCAACTCTCTCACCACCTGTGAGGCTAAGGAAGTCCCTCCACAAGACGGGACACTTAAGCCAGCCCAAGCAATGAATTAGCCAGGAATCAAAAGAATGGACCAACCAACACAACAGTTCCTCCTTACTCGGGTGGTGTGAGTCTGTAGCCCAGAGGCCCTCAAATCCACCCACTCCTCTCCATGGCCACAGGCTCAGCCTCCTTGCTGGCTTTACAGCCTCGAAATCAGTTGAGACGCTTAGATGGGTGAATATCACTATGCTCCTCTTCGTCTCGATTGCTTCCCATAGCTTTTGGGATCAAAGCTGAAGTTCTGAACATGACCCAAGGATTTGGCTGTGGATGACCTCTCTCTGCAAGCCCACCCACTGTGTTCTTTTTCTTCAGTACAGTACATTCACGGTGGCCTTCTGTGTCTTCTGAACACATCATGTCTCCTTGTACCTTCAGCTGCCCACACTCCTCTACTGCCCTTCCTGTATCCCAAGTCTGCCTAGTGAACTCAATTACTCTTCAAGTGTTCCCTCAAGTATTCCCAAACCCTCTCGTGCCTGCGACCCAGTCAAGCCGATCACTTCCTTCTATGCACTACGTTAGTTCCCTCTCAGGACAGTAGCTATCACCCTTCCTTGTTCTGCACAGTGAGCATTGGGAGCTCAGGACTTCATCTGACTCACCACTGGGTCACAGAGACCAGCCCAGCAGCTCTGAGGCATTTGTGCAAAGTATAGGAAATTGAGATCATGAAAGGAAGGGGCTCCTCTTGGAGGGGTCATCACATTGGAAGGAGGGATACTGTGTGTTCTGAAGGGAATTGTATAGAAAGTCACTCCAGTTCATCTATGGTTCTTACTGTCAAGTGTTTTGCTCCTTATTAATATGGTATGGCCGAGCCTGGTGGCTGGCATCTAATACCTTCCCTTTCCTCGCTGTGGCTCTTGGTGGTCATGGGCGTGGCTTGGCATCCTAGAGTGTGTCACACTCCTCTGGTGTCTGTCTTCCTCATGCAGATGACATACTGGTGGATCAGAGGTCATGGGGAGATGGGAACACTTGTCTCTCAAGGCTGTCATCAAGAAACAGCAAACTCACTCCACTCACTCTAAGTCATTGTGGGCCAGCTAAAGAGAAAGAGAAAGAGTGAGTGGGGTCCAAGGGCTAGCTAAGTCTCGAACCCTTCTTATGTCCCCGATGATGCAAAACCCTTCCCAAGACAGCTCTGCCATGCTGTTTTAGCCAAAGAGACCAGCCTTTCCTTAACTCCGCCCTCCTGGCCAGACTGCCAGGCCCTGCAGCGGATTTTGCCTGCAAACGGGTTTGACTCGAATGGTAACTGCCCTGCCCTGCCCTGCCCACCTGTTCACTGCCCCAGCAGAATGTCCCAACGATGATTTCCACCCCCACTACCTTCCATAACCACCTGTAGTCACTTGCCAGTCTTCCAAACCCCTACTGGCTTTTATGTGTGTGTGTGTGTGTGTGTGTGTGTGTGTGTGTGTGTGCGCGCATGTGCACGCGAGCGCGCCAGTTCTGGGGCTTAAACTCAGGGCCTGGACACTGTCCTTGAGCATTTTTGTTCAAGGCTACTGCTCTACCACTTGAGCTATAGCTCCACTTCTGGCTCTTTTTTTTTTTTTTTTTGGTGGTTTATTGGAGATAAGGTTGCCCAGGCTGGCTTCGAACCACAATCTTCAGATCTGTTTCTGAGTAGCTAGGATTATAGACATGAGTCACCAGGATCTGGCCCTACAGACATTTGTTTATTTGGTAGTACTAGGGTTTGAACACAGGTCCTCATATTTGCTGGCTGGTACTTTACCACTTGAGCTATGCCCCCAACCCAGTTTTTGCTGGTTATCTTTGAGATACGGTTTCAAGAACTTTTCTGCCTCGACTGGCCTTAAACTGTGATCCTTCTACTCGCAGCCTCCCCAATAATGAGGATGGAGGGCATAAGCCACCAATGCTCAGCCATACTGTCTTTTTTAGCCTCCTCAGGCACCAGACATACCCAGTGACAAGGACTCAGATATATCAAGAGCTCTCCTAACACTGCCGCTCCCCCTGTACAAGATACCCACTTTGTTTGGAATGACAGTTCTTCTTTGAAGATACCAGGTGATCTCCCATACACTCTCAGTTGTCATGCTGTCTTCCTCATGAACCTTCCCTTGGACTCCTCTCAAGTTCCAGTGGCTATTGGCTGCTTCCTAGACTAGGCTCTACCTCTACCTGGCCTGACCTTGGTTCTGTCCTTCTCTGCTTTCCTATCTTTTTATGTCTTAGTCCCTAGCCTTAGCTCTAATATTGGCCAGTGCCCTGGCCTTTCTCATGAAGGCTTGAGTAGCAATGTCATACTTTCAGGGGCCTGAGCAACAGCATAAGCAAGCCCTCTCGGCAAGGTCCTGCTGGTTCCAAATACGGTAGGCTCAGGATAGCCTGGACGATCACAGGAGGTAAAAGGTCTGAAAGGTGGAGGCAGAGTGGCAGGTAGTAACCCTATACTGAGGGAGGCCAGATGAAAGCCCGCAGATGGGGAGGGGAACAGGTGGCTAGGTGAGAGAATAGGCCAGCATTCCTATGCTCTAAGGGAGGCCCCATTTCCATCTAGAGGGCTGGGAGTAGGGCTAAAGCAAGCCAATCTAGCTGAAGAGTTCCTAGGTTTGGGAGGGGAAATGGGGAAGGGCCTTGAAAGCTGTCAGGCCCTAAAGATGACCTGGGAAGTGTTCCTACATCACAGAAGACTGGAGACTAAAACAACTTGAACTTTTCAGTTGGACAAATGGGGAAACTGAGGCCCAGAGAGGGTAGATTGCTAACCAAAAATCACAGAGCTAGTCTGACAAGAACAGAGACTAAACTCTGCATGAAATGACTCTCTATGGGTCTCCACCCAGCTGCCTAGAGGCTGGGGTGCTGAGGTTCCTCTGTAGGGAGGGCTGGGCTCCTGCTTGCACCCTAATCCCCTCTTCCCTTCCCTCCTTCCCAGGCCCGCCCTGCCACCTCATCCTCCGAAGCTCTTCAACTGGTTTCCACTTGCTGGGTGACTTGTGAGACACCCAGCAGGATGCATTCCCTCGAGGCAGGGGTCCCCACACCAGGCAGGACTGGCCCAGAATGAGCCCTCTGGAAGCCTGAACCTGTTCCCATTTGGAAGCAGCTCCTCTGCTAGTAGCTGCTCCAAACCCTCAGCAGACAGGGTGAGCCCTCCACCCACTCGCTGTTGCCTTCGGGCCTCCTGCCATGCCTGGTGCTTGCGCTCTTCGGAGTGAGGTCCTGCTCCTTGCTCTCTGGCATGCAACACACTGCCCTTTGCCAAGTGCCCCCACTGCATGGGCCAGAAACCAGGCAGACCCAGTCCCAAGCAGGAGCTGTTCTGAGTGTAGGGAGGAAGCAGAGCCGTCACTCCCCCAGGGACAGAACCCATGGATCATTTCGCCCATCCACTGTGGCCTCACCGGGAACAGTGACCCCATCTTACAATGAAGGGACGTGAGATGCAAGGAGAGGGGGGGAGCAGTGAAGAGATCATGCATCTCCTTACATTTCCCAGCCTGGAGCTTGGACTACTGCTGCTCTTCAAATCCACTGCTTTGAATAAGGCCAGGAAGCAGTCACTAGTAGTGCTGGTCTGCATGACCTGATGCCCTAGAACACACACTCGTGTCTTTTGTCTCTGGCTCTGAAGCAGCCCCTGGCCAGGCCTCCAGAGCACGAGTGCACGAGTGGAGCCAAGGCCTTGTTGGCAGATAATTCCCACAAGCCCTGAAGAATGGCTTTTTTTCTATTTCTTTCTTTCTTTTTTTTTGCTGCTTTAAGAATCATCCACAGATCGGAAAAAGAATGTTCTAATTGGAAAACCTCCCCGCCATGGTTTTCCGGAGTTTTAGTACAGTTGGCCGGC